AGAAACACGAGACACCAATCCTGGTCAGGTCCTCCAGTGCAGTGTTCCTCTAATACTTTTCATCAGAGGGTTTTCATCCAGAGTGAAACTCTGGAGCCACAGTAATTCTGGAGTTTTCATCCAGAGTGAAACTTGTCATTAGTTGCTTCAGTTTATGATGCTATTTTGATACATAGTTGAAGCATAGTTTGGGTCAAGCGTGTGTATTATATGCAGCTTCACTGGTAAGCTTTGTGCATGCATAGCACCGTGTAGTGCTTTTGGATATTTAAATGGCTGCTCTCTACTTTGTTGCTCACTAATTCTTGTTTTGCCCCTAAGGTAAACCAAAGAATAGGAAAGAGTATCAGGGAATGAAGAGGTAGTTGTCAGGCTTGGGGTTCTTATTAGAACCAACTTTAACAAAGATATCTGGGTTTGAGGCCGGACGAAAAGCATCATGAGAGCAGCAAGAGGAAAATATAGGTACAGCAAATTATCTGAAAGGTTGCATAGCTGCAAGTGAATGGCTGGAGCTGCAGTTGTAGACTTTGGTGTTACAAAGGTAAAGGCATGCAAGCTTTGGGCAGTAATGTCCCGAAGCTGTATGGCAAGCACCAGTCTATGCAAGCATATTTTAATATAGTAGTTCCTATGCAATTTGATATAAATAATGAACATCATGGGAACTGTGTTTTTATTTATCATGATATTCATTTCATTTCTTTTGAAGAGTCCCACTTTTCACTGTCACTTAGATGGTGTGTGCTAGGTTTCAGCATCGCTGTTTTTGTTCTTCAGTGTTATTTCCTACTTTGGGGTGAAAGCAAGAGGGCCTTAAACCCTCTGATGAAAAATAAAAGCTGTGCGAGAGTGTAGTTCTGTACTGAGAAATGCTGCTGCAGTAGTGGTAGTAGCCTCTGTAAGATTTGCCCAGCAGATGCCAGCAGTGAATTACCACAGAGCTTGTCAAAAGTTACAGCAGCTTATCTGCTGTGGAGAGACTTACTGCTTAGAGCCTGATTGCTTGGAATAGACTAGCTCTGTCTATTAAGATTAATTTTTTATTCCAAAGCCCCTCATCTTGTCCTCTGAATACTTAAAAATAGTATGTTAGGCCATTTTTGTACACACGTCAGAAAACGCTCAGGTCTGTAACGGTTTGTTTGTAACTACTTCTAAATAGCCTCTCAAATAATGGGATTAAGTTATTATTCAAAAGACATGTTTTAGATTCAGATTGCCCTAAATATTACATTTTTTTACCTGACGGTTCTATTCTTTTCCTGTTTATTGTCCCCTTCAACATGAGAGCATAACTCTTCTTGTTTACTCTCCCTCTCAGTTTGAGTAACAGATTTGACCTGACATTTGGCTGTTCCTTTTTGTACTGGAGGGGAAAAAAAAAATCTAAGTCATATGATATTATCCTTCACTTTCATTGAACCATCTGGACTTCTGGAGCCAGAGCTGAAAACTGTCAACTTCTCTTGATGTAAAGCAAATAGACTTAGCTGAAAGGGGAAGTTAAGGCTGGAGAGTCACCCTGTAGAAAGCTGCGAGCAGTTCAACACTTAGAGGAAGGAAATCATTAATTGTCAAAGAGCCCCATCCTGTCCAAAAGCAAAAGCATTAGATATCTAATGCTGCTCCCTCAAAGATTAGGTTTATATGCAAGGCTTCAGTGGAAACTAGAGTTGGTTTTACTGGTAATTGTTTTTGCTGTTCGCAAATGGAAGAGAGATCTGTTCTCCCCTAAGATGTCTTTAACTTAAAGAAGCTGCAGGAAGGACTAGTTACTGTGCTGATGTTTCCCCCAATAATAAAATGACCATTTATGATACACATGATACAGTTTCAGATCCTCTTAAACAGCACAGCAGTGAATTAGGTACCTTTCCATAAAGATGTTCTTAAATCAAGGCAGTAACTACATACCAATAAAGGAACACTGTCACATCACAAAGAGATTAAGTTGACTTATGATTTTGGCTTTCATGTGTGATCACAGTGGTAAATATTGAAAGAATAGATTGCAGTAATAATATTTATTTTTTATACATCAGAAAGGCTCCTGTTTGAGACTTTGTATTTGGTATATTAAGGAAATGTAGAATTGAAAATTCATTACAATAATGAGAATTATATGAGTCTAGATTATTACTTGTCATTTTATGTTCTTGGCAATTAGCATTTCTCAAAATATTCTTTCCTTTTGGCTGAGTCTCTCTACAAAATTGGCACAGTCTGAAAATTATGATTTCCTAGGCAAAATAGAATAAGACTTGGAATTATGTCAAGACTTATAACTGAAGACAAAGCTTCAAAACAATCTTTGTATGGAAATGAAATTCACTGTTTCTCCCTCTAACTCATCTTTCTACCTACTGTTTCCCTGCCTGTTTCTGTCTGTAACTCAAACACATGCTCTTTCTTTTGCTTTTTGGAAGGCTCCCAAAGGTTGTGGAGAAGTTTTACAGGAAAACTTTCCAAAAAGTATTAGGACTTGCTCTTCTCATAGAGATAAGACCCTCAGATGTGTTTTAATATGTAGAGCTGAAGCTGGAAAACCATCATATTTGTTTTGGGGCATTTTTTTAATCTATTAAAATATAGAAATTTGGGGTTTCTTCCTATTTAACTCTGCATCATCAAGAGCTCTTGGCTGCTTCCTTGTTACTTTTAGTGAGTTCCAGATGTCCTAATAATTTGAGATTTATCATTGTATAAATATTTATTTGATCAAATGAGCATGCATTGCATTCTGAGACTTCCTTATCAGATGATCAGATGAAAGTTAACACTGCCTTTCATGACTTCATGCTATATGGCTTTTATCTGAAAACCCCTGTCTTTTGGGGCTACAAAAATAATCGGAAAGATAAGGCCTGTACATATGATAAAGATATGTCTTTAACTTTTTGAGTTCAGCTTTTCCAGGTGTCCTGGAGTCTAACTGCATATGTTTTTAATCTGTGTGACTCTTGACAAGCCACATAAATTGAATCCATTCTTGGAATCCTACCAATTCTCAGAATTAGAATATTTTACTGGTGAAATACTCCAGGTTAATTATGCAAAGTCTAAAACTATTGGCTCTTTGGTTCTTATGAACTTTGAACTTGTTTCCTGTCTTTCTCTTTTTTTTTTTTTTTTTTCCCTAGGGAGTTTATGTAGTAGTTGTTGACCTTTTATTATTTAGGTTCTTCAGTTATATATTCCTTAACCGATCCCTTGGAAAATTCAACCCTCCCTCTTTAACAGGTATTTGGCAGGGGGTAGGGGAAAAGGGCAGCAAGGAGTAGATATGGGCAAAAGCAATGATGACAACAACATGTCAGCAATACATGTTATACAATATTTTCAGCATTGTCTGAACTATGTTATTAAGTGAAACAGCTGAGTTGCTCTCTAACTTCATATGGTTTCTGCTCATTTTGGTTTGCGATTGTTAAACCTCCTCTTGTTTGTTAGCTATAGAAATACTGCTTAACTTGGAGGGAAGCAGAAGACTACTCATCTAAAAAGAAGTAAACTGACCTTTCTGTTTTATATTATGCCTTTTGCTCCATTTGGCCAGGTATTAAGGAATGTTCAGAGCTCTTATATCACACTCTGATGTTAATGAGAGGAGAGTAAAAATGAATATGACCAAGACAGATATTAGTTTTTCAGCCATGTGGATATGCAGATACGCTAGGAAAAAGTTGCTGTTAGTGCCGTGTGTGCATTCAAAGCAGACTTTTAAAATATTGTTAACAGAGTCAAAGTTGGGGGCACAGAGCTGGGAGGTGGAGGAGAGAAATGGTGATTTATTCAAGGTATGCCTGCTGCTTTTCTTCCCACATTCATATTCACTTCCTGACTTCCCCACAAGATAAATATTAGTGTTGTTCTATTATTTTCAGTTACAGTGCTAAAAAAACAATGCTTAAGTCAGTGAAATTAAAGTCAGTGCTCCCGAGGAGGGCATCTGTTAACTTTTCCCAGCTCTCTTAGGGGTTCATAACTCTGTCTATGCTGTGAGCATAAATTAGTTACTGTGTAAAAATAATTTTTTGTCAGGCACATAGCCCACAGAGCACTAAGGTTTGTTTCAGAGATGTAGCCAGGGATTGAGAAGATCCAAATGGAACTAAGAGAGTATGAAGTGTGGGATTTTTTGTTCTAGTTGCATTGCTGTTAGCTGTTATTTGACATTTTTCACTTAAGAGCAAATATTATAATACCAAAATGGAAGTACAAAGTGTAGAAAACAAACAAAACATTTTGTTTTTAACTGAGATTTTAATCAACCAAGACAAGAAATCAGATTTACAGATGGAGGAAAATTGAATTTAAAGGTCACTGAATAGAAGTTTCAAGCAATGCCCAAGTATTTATTCTTGTATATACAAAGTCAGAAAAATCTTTTATATATATATATATATATATATATTTTATATATGTATAAAAGAAAAAATATTTTTAAAGTATTTCATAAATAGCTGAAATCCAGGAGGAAAAAAAAATCTGTACTTTCTTGCATGACATGTAACATCAGTTGCATTTATAAATGAGGAAGGAGAATTTTGCCTCTTGTTGTATTTTACATACTCCTATTAGGACAAAAATATCCTGACTCCTTACAGGTATACTTGTGTTGTGATGCCCTCAGCTGAATTCCTGGCATGAAGAATTCAGGATGTAGCAAGTATACCTTTGTTACAGTAAAAGAAATTATATAAAGAAGTAAATTAGGTCCATCACAATATGCTTGGGGTACGCAGATCAGATAATTGCACAGAACTACCAAAAGGAAAAATCTGACCCCCGACTTGTGCATAATTAACAATTTGCAGAGCAGTGTGCTTATTCTACTAAAAAAAAAAAAAAAAAAAGTAAACCCTGTTAGTGCTTAAAGAATCAAAATAAGACAGTAACACCTTCCTGCATCAGATTTTCTCTTCCATCTTTGTTATTGGGTGCAACTGTTTAAATATTTTCTCTGCTCTACATGATCTTTTTTTCCAAAAAATATATTTCAAAAAATATATATTTAATAAAAGTAAACAAAAAGGCATAGAACAAGTACTTTTATCTCTTTGATGGTGAAAAAGGCAATTGGTTGTATTGTTGAAAATGAATCCCTTGTGATGCTGTAATCTTCATAACTTCTCCATTTAGAGTATCATCTTCAATTATTGTTATCAGTCCTTCAGCTATTATTGATGGACTAAAAAGAAAAAAAAAAGTTTTTTTGTTTTTTTCCTGTTTGGTAGTGTGATAGACTATGTGAAAATATGTGAAAAGGACAAGCAAAGACACTCAGTGGAAATGTATATGCCCTGCAAATAAAACCATCTACTATTTGAATAGTATTTTCAACAAAAGCAGAAGAATGATAAGTGTTTCAGGAAGGAAATCTAATCTTTCTAGTTAGGACAAACAGCTGCAACTTTACAAATCATCATGAGTTTGCTCTAGTCATTGATAAATCCCTGTGGACATCCAGCTGCCACTGGGCTTTCTATCAAAGTTTTCTCTGTCAGGGCAATGGACAGAAGTGATCTTTACACAATCCTCTGCAGCTCTTTACTCTTGAATTATCATAGTTCAGTAACAGCACTGTCATACAAATTAGTGTGAGGAGAATTTTGTCACAATTTGTTGTGTTCAATAGGTGCAGTATAGTTGACATCTAAAAAATGGCGGGCAACATAGCATACTTGCATGATTTCCTAAGTGTCTGAATGGCTAATTGTTAGGACTAAGAAAATATTCCAGAAATATTTCAGTTTATTTGTGTCCTGTTCTTATAAACTTTTCTAGGTGTCTACTTTGGTCCCACTCAGTGGCCTAGATAAGTCTTTGGTCTAATTTTCCGTGGTTGCTACTATATTCTTAGGAACTTGGTCTATTATTGTCAGTTGTTTGGTTTCTTCACAATTTCAAAATCTAGGGAAACCCAATTCAAAAGTCACTCTCTGTACTTCATAACAAGTTTGATTAAACAAATTTATGGAAGAACAGTCCACCAAGGGCTACTGCAAGTGCTATTACAAGAGCTGCCATGCATGCTTGTTCTTCATTTACAAAGGGCAAAGAACACTGTATCTAACTTTACTTACTCCATCACACCATAGAACTGCATCATGTTTTTGATCTCATCCTTGTATGAATAATATTGTCCCATATTCTCTTCTTTATCTATTGACTGAAGAATTGGTGTGTTGACAAATCCTGGACAAATAGTGTTGAGTCTAACACCATAGTTTTCCATACTAGCAGCTAACTAGAAAAGAGATACAAGTTAGGCATTCATCATCATCATTTTAAACAATATTGTGAAAGTAATTTTGCAAAGAGGGCTTAGCATCGTGTTTACATCCTTGCCTGACAGACCATCTTGTTGATACTGGTTGTTTTATTACAACATCTAAGCTTGAAGTATGTTTTCTCTAATAATAATACTTTTTTTTTTGTCCAACATACTTTTCTAGAACAATTCTACAGGAAAACAAGATTATTTTCTTAGCACAGCCGTTTATCTATTTTTTTTGTTACTAATGCTTTTGATATTAACTATATTCTAGGGTGCTAAAACTGTATGGGGAATGGTAGAACCCTTCCCCTGTGATGTCTGTAGCACAGGAGAAGCCTGAAGCTGGGGGAGTTTTCTTAAGAACTTAAGAACTACTGCTGCCCCAGAGTAACCATAATTGTTCAACAATAATTAAATTATTCTCCGTCATGATCCAGAACTTAAGAACTACTGCTGATATATCTGTGCCCCACAGTAACCATAGTTGTTCAACAATAATTAAATTATTCTCCCCCAGTATGATATAAATGGTCATTTTCACGATATGATACGATAGGAGAAAAGTGACTGAAATCGTAGCTGTTTTGTGTTAGGCCTCGTGTTGGGCTCTTAGTCTTGCCTGGTAGGTGTAACGTTCCTCTGTGTTTGGCCCATGCTTCCTCTCCCCAACATTCCCATGTTCTATAAACAGGCAGTATTTCCTCCCATTTTCTTCAAACTTTGTGTTGTTGCTGAACTCATGTTGTAAAATTTAATAATCTTATGAAAAAATAAAACTGGAAAACAAGGTTTCCAGCTCATGCTGTGTCTAATAGGTGATATGCGACAACTATCCAAGTTGATCTGCTTAAGTAAATCTTTTTTACGTGATGGGAGAGCAAAATATGAACCTTCTGGAAATTAGACTGGAAGTCTTATATAAGCAGGCTATTTTTAAGATGAACATGTAATTAGCCTGTTTATTAATACTCTTACTTACTAATGTACCTCAATTTATTTTCTCATACTTCTTGTGAATTTAACTAGAAAATATTGGAGTCAAGGGGTAAGACTTACTATATTCTTGTGTAGCATTTAATATGACCCATCCGTAATGTGTCATTTTGCATTTTTTTTAGCAAATTAACTAAAAGTAAGAAAAAATAATAGGCCACAACTTTGTTGAACTCACTTCCTGCATACTTCAGCATCTATTAATCATAAATGTCATCAGTGTGACTTACAACTAAGGTAATTAAAATGTTAAATGACTGGTATAGAGTTATGAAAAATATTGTTAAGCTTAGATAAGGGTTTAGGACTTTGAAGTTTAATACTCCGAATCTTTCTCCCAGGATCCCTAAACTTCAGATCAATCATAAACCCACACATGCCTTATTTATTCCATCTTTGCATTCCCCTTGTGAAATGAGGGAACCTCTGCTATTTCTGGAGCCTTCATTTGTTTCAAGAAAATTGTTTCTAGTTGTGTGGCAATAGCGAAGAAACTTGAGAAACTTAGCCTGTTCCCAAGAAGCTGATGATACTGATTTTGAAAATGCATACTTACTGCTATTGATCGTGTGAATCCAATTACACCATGTTTTGTAGCACAGTACACTGGCTGGAATGCAGCAGGCATGAGTCCTTTTTTAAAAAAAAAAAAAAAAGGCAGCTGAAAAAAGATATTGGTCACCCCTACTTATGATTATCTTCAACACACATACAGGACAATAATAGAGTAAATGATGAGTTGTAGAGAAATGAAAAGGTGGGCAGTTTTGCAAAAATTTGCAAAATATATTTTGTAAGGCTGTGAAAAAAAAAAGATATGAAATAACAGACAAAAACACAGTGGAAGGCAAAAGGGTGCAGGTAATGAAAAGAGAATTACTTTTAAGGTGAAAAGTGGGATATGCAAAAAAGTATGACTTAAAGATGGAGCACAGGATCTGGAAGATTTTTACATTTTATGAATCTTGGATATATATAAAGTATTTCAGATAGATTTTGATAACTGACACCTTAATTGCTGGTATGCATCCTAGGTACCTGTAATTATTTACAGTGATTCTAGAGAGGAAGTAGCTGGAAGGGGAAGGTTTTGGCAGGGAAATAGCAAAATCCATTTCAGCTACTGTAGCTGAACTTGTTTTACTGCTTTTATTTATTTATTGATGTGTTACAAAGATAATACATCTTGCTTAAATTCCTTCATTAGTTATTTCTATGGGATAGTAACAGAAATGAAATAAAACTTTTTCTCCTAGCTCTGATACGAGAGAATGTGAGAGAGGAATGTGTGCTGCACAGCTGACTGAAGTCCAGTCAACTAACTGAGTGAAATAATATTATTGCTTATTTATTTGGTAATATGCTTAGGACTAAAGGAGTAGGTTACACATGCTTTTGCAGAGTATTTTTTTCCTCTAAGAAGTTGTGTCTAAGCAAAATTTACATTTGATGCACCATTGGCGGCACTGTAAAATTTATTTGTGACACTACTCCGAAATGTCGTAGGTGATACGTTCCCTATTGCATGAAGTAGGAAGGTCATTTTCAATAAGCAAATGCAAACAGCACAAATGGGGAATGCAGGCCTCAGTGAACAGGGTATAGAGATGATTGAGAAAACACTATGAATGAAATGATAAAGTGAAGCCTGCAGATAGTGAACATAAAGAAATGAAAGCAGGCATGAAGCATGTCATAAATCAAATTTGAAAAGGATTTCACTGTAAGGTACCTTCTAAAGTGGTCCTGGTTCTGAAACAATAAACTAGTGGGAGGATCTTTGGAAGGAGAAAGATAAAAAAGAGCTTTCAATACAAGGCAATAGCATTACTGACTTCTGGGCAAGGAAAAAACAGAAACAAAACAAAAAATGACTGTTGAGATTCTGCACTGATAGATTAGAGTGGGAATGGGCGAAGATAAAATCTTCATTTGCACATTTGCAGTAGAGAAAGAACAGATGCTTCAAAGGAAAAACAAGAGCTTCCCTCTTGTAGGACTGAATTTGATGGTAACAAGCTGATCAAGCAGAGATGACAGACTATGAATATATGTTACTCTGAACATTATGCCAACAACTGCCATTATACCGTAACAACCTAGACTGAAATGGGGCACATGGATACCCTAATTCCAAACGAAAGTAGCAAACTCCAGGCTGCTCTAAATTTAGAGGGAGAAATTTGTCTACAAATGTGGTATCATTAAGTCCGGATGCTGCTGTTGATGCCTTAATATTTAATTCTATTGGAAGTAGTCCCAATTTATATCTAAAATGTCCGGTTTTTATTTTGTATTTTTAAGTGATATAATTAACAAAGGATGTGACTTATCTCAGTGGGGATGCTCTAAAGCATGGAATTGCCAGAAAGATTGTCTGTGACAGAGACTTGTATGGGTTCTTTGCTCTGGAATCCATTTTGTCCAAAAGGAAATAACTCTCTAAGAAGGCAGAGAGTTATGATTCCAACCACAATTGTGTCAGGGCTTTATCTTGGTTTAAAGGTTACACTGGTCACTCTGTGAAAACAACTGTATTATTAGCACCGTTCAGTGGTGAGAAATAAATGACTTGCACTAGTGACCACCCTTCTCTTAAATCTATGTTTAGCTCTTCAGCTTGGATTAATGTGTTATGCTTCTGTATAAGAACTTGCTTTATGAAAAATATCTTCCATCATAACTCCCCTGGATAGGGATTGCAAGCAAAGCTTAGTAGTCTTCTTTTTGATGATGTGTAACTGATGGACTGTCATCAAGTATCACCATTCTTCATGATAATTGGAAATTCTAGCCTGCTATCAGTTTGTCAGTTTGCTAATTCACGGTAGCAACATTAGGATACTACTTTTTTATTATTTTGTAATCTGGAGTTGTAAAGATAAAGACATGCCCAATGAGGGTGCAGCTAAGACACATATGTAAGATAAAAATTACTGGGAAGCACAGAGGAGGAATTTAGAAGTTTGTTTTGTTTTAACAACAATGAGACAGATTACTTTTTGCTTGAGAGGGAAGAGAGTCAAGAAATAAACAAAGGAAGGACACAACTCACTGTAATGAAGTGGGATAGGGTTCAAAGACTTACTTAAAGTCAAGAGGCAGAAGGAATAGCTAGGCAGGAAGGGAGGAATAAATAACTTTTTTTTTTAAAAAAAAAAAAGGCACTAAGAACAATTCTCTCCTAACACAAACTGGAAAATACATGGAAAATAAAGAAGAAATTGGTTCAGTAACTTTCAACCAAAGCAACAAATTGAGCTTGTCCTAGCATTCTCCACCCAAATCAATGATAATCCCATCTCGCTTTTATTCATGAGTTCAGTACCCTGTACCACTCATCACAATTTCAGACATGTCAAATGTTTTGTTGCAATTGCTTATTCACTTATCACCATCAATAGTTTTAATTAAGTTTCATGATCCACATGTTGGGAAACTAGTATTTGAGGTGCAGCACTGTATCAATAAGTTTGTATTTGTTGAAACTGATATTTTCTTTCATCCCATTGAAGAGCTATGATGAATACAGAATACCCAAGCTATGCTTCCTCACAGGGCACACACTGCCATCAGAGATTTGCCTCTTTGAATCAGATTTATTAGCATTTGGATGGCCTTTCTCCCAATCCCCTCTTTTTGTTTCATGGCTGCACTGTTAGCCAGCTTGATACAAATCTAATTCTCTTTGGCAGTATCTTATAAATTTCAACAATTCCTTAAAAACTATACTTCATATTTGGTTGACTGTAGCATAGAGAATAAAAAGCCATGGTCTGTTTTCTACATGGCTGTTGATTTCATGTGGACTTTGACCTCATCAGAATGCAGTCCTTCTACACTGATTATGCAGAGCTCAAGCTCTGCGTATTTACTATTTGACAATTTTTTTTTTCCTCACCGATATTTACTGTGTCTTCTGCCATCTTAAATATTCACTGGTTGTGAAAGAGATATTTGAAAATCATGAAAGGTAAATTTTGACTGATGGAACCTATTTAGAAGCAAACCAAAAATGTTGTACTCTCTGTATGTTGGAAAGTAATTTGTCAAAGTAATGTGTTTTCCTTTTTACTATATGTTTGTTTAATAAAATATACTTATCAAATTCTATTTCAAAACACAAAATATTTACAAATAAGGGGCATCACAAGAGTTAGCCATATTTATTGAAATTAAGTATCTTTCCAAACCCCATTTTAGAAATTTCCTTTATCACCCCTAGACAAAAGTCTGCATATGCTTGCAGTGCGCTTTGAATAACCCCTTTTGAACAACCAGATATGTAATTAGAGAAATGAACTAGGGGAATGTTGGTCCTACAGAGTGATGAGAGATTTAATTAAGGGATTTATAGCCTACCCTTTCCTCAAGAGTAAGAGAGGTTACAAGATCACATTCCTTATGTCAGTTTTACCCTTGGGATTTTAGCGAAACCAAAGGAAACATGGAAATCATAGCTGAAATTTTTAGCTGCATCACTTCTAGGAAATTTTCTACGAATGAACTGAATGGCCCAGGGATTATTTTCTAAATCTCATTCCTATGGATTCTGCTCACCAGCTCCTTTACTGCACAGTGGGAGAGAGGAGAAACTCTCTCATGATGCTGAGCGGAGGGCCCCAGTCTTGCAGCAATTGCATCCTTGCTCTCCTTTAACACTCTCATTGTCTATTCAAATTATGCTGGCCATATGTTTGATTTTGTTTCTTTAAAAAATATATACACAGAACCAGATCCTGCAAAAGTGTGCTTGCTTTGAGGAGTACCTTAAACATTTCCCTTGGACAAAGCTGTCTCGAGGCGGAGGACAAACTTACTGCTGTGAAGCCTGACTGTGTCCTTGAAGTTGAGTACAACCAAACCACTGATACAGCTGCACAGCAGCAAGGTTTCCAGGTACACTACACCATGAACAAACACTCATTAAAAAAAATAGCATGACCTTATGCTAAATATTTTGTTATTTTTAAGCCCTCCATAAATGTTTTGATTTTCCTTATCTGCCAGAATCCAGACGTACACTAACTCAGTTTTACAGAATATCTTCTTGAAAATATGAAAGCAACCAAGCACACATGAATCCAGCAGCCAAACTTTCCTTTTCTCCTTCATTTATTAAAAGTACATAGATAGCAGCCACCAAAAGATAAGAAACAATGCGAAATATATTCATAAAAATAATATCAGAATTTAAATTTAGTACTGTGTGTGTTTTTTTAATTTTGTTTGGTATGTCACTTAAAATTTGAATTAATTTGAGTATAATTCTTCCTACAGAAAGAATTTTAGCATGGTTTACAATTTAAAGTGTAAGAGGAATTTATTATAATGCATTCAAAAACCTGCAACCACTGGCATTTTCTTTTATGAGGGCAGTTTGACAAACTTCCCATTATCTCAGAGATTTAGTGGTAATACTTCCTCCTGATATGAATGCAGAACTCCCATAAAAGAAAGTTTTATAGCTCTGCGGGGGTTAGCAGTTGGGTGTTTGCTGCATGGGCTTACAAATTTCACTCTGTTTCTAATTTAGTCTTGTCTTGTAGAGGCATTTTTTGGAAAGCAAGAATTAATACTAGAAAAACATGAATATGCTGACTTTCATCCAGCTAAAACGTAAGGCATGCACATCAGAGGAAGCACTGAGGTGCTCTATGGCTATTCTTTGAAATATCAAGAAGTAAAAGAATCTGTCTGGAGTTCGGATCGCTGGCAAAATCCCCATGGTAAAAGAATGGCAAGTAATTAATGTGTAAAGCAAATATTATTGAATGATATGCACGCACTGAATATTACTCTTCTTACTGCTGAAAAAGACAGATAAATACTTGCTATCTGCAGAACATGTCTGATAAAATCTTGCAAAGAACTGGGGCGAACAGGATGAAAACCACTCAGGAGATTAATTATCAACAGAAGCTACCTCCAAGTAAAGAAAACATTTGAAGGGAATGCTAAACCAGTCAATGGCAGTTTGAGTTTTATCTACGCAGTGAACTGCAGGACTTAGACCTTTAGGCACTAAGGGAGAATTGGAGTTGCAAAGCACAAATAGTAATTAATAAATAAACTATAAAAATTAGTCTATGTCAGCTTTTATCTTGTGGTTTTCCTTATGACCTTGGAAGCAATTGCTAAATACAAACCATGCAAGAGCAAACAAAGCAAAGAACACTTTGTTTTTGACTGAGATAGCCACAACCATTAGAATGCAATATTCACATTAGAAAGTAAGTAAATAAATGCAAACTTTGATTGAATAATTACGATGACATTTATAAGCTGTTATCAAAATGAAGAAAGCCAAGTTGTGAGATCTTAAAAACAAAATAATTTGTTAGAAAGTGATGAGAAAAGAATGAAATTGCTACCTTTTGGCCTTTTTTAAGCATTCTGGGGGCATCAGCACTTCTGAGAAAACGTTTAATCTTTTACTTGTGTCTGTGAAGTGCAGTACTGCAATAGCAACTTCCTTCTGGTTAATTTGGTTTGAACAGAGGGTCTATGTGACCCACTGGAGTTAAGCTTGCCAACTTCAGTGGGTGATGTTTTAAATGGGATTGCTGAGACTGACTTACATGAAGACATTTAAAAAACTGCCACATGTATGAGGCGAGTGAATGTTTAAACCAGACACTCTTAAGCTAAGCTATTCAGCTGATGTATGTCAATAGGATGAGCTGGTTTTCTCATCACAAATTCCCTGACATCCAGGAGAATTTAGCAGCATTCAAAATATCGACATCTATCCTGCACTAATCCCTAATCAAGAACTACAACTATCGTTGTCTTATAGGCCTTACATTGTTTAAAACACATGGAGTCCCCCCTGAATAAAATGCCTGGCAGGGTATTTTGCACAAATGCTGAGGAAAGAACTGAAAATACAAATATAAGCCAGCATAGATACTATTTTTCCCAAACTCCATGACAGTATTGAGAGAAAATAAGTAGAAGGGAGTACAAATACTTCCCCACCAATTTTCTGAGGAATGACATCAGGAAGCATCGTTCTTACCGCCCATTCCCCCTTCACTCATACTTTTTTGCTCTGAGCACCCTCATTGTGACCAGTGTGTACATACAAGAAAGGATGCAGAACTGCTGAGCAGCAATTATCCCAACTCAGAAACCATGTAGCTGGCCTTGAACTAATTACTTACTGATGCTACCCCTGCATTTCAATTTATGTGCAGAAGATGTGTTAACTTGAGCTCAATGAAATAATAATGCTAATAGTATGGCCTTTTGAGCAGAGGTGGCTCAGGCCTGATGGGGCTTGAAGCATTGACGGTGTGTGTGTGATGACCTTCATTAAAAAGGAAATACAATCTAATATTAAATATTCCTTCAGTTGAACCCCTATGGAGCTGAGTAGGGAAGACCTGCTGCTGCTTCCTCTCTTTCTGTGAAAAAATTATCTGATTTTTCTGTGTTTGGTGCCTGATAAATATAATATCAAGAATAAGCAATTTTAAAGAAATCTTGAATTCAAATTAGGTCTATATATTGGATTTTACTGCTTACACACTGTATAGTTTACCCATTGTTTTAATTTAGTAATGCTACCGAATAGTGCTAAGTGTATGACTGTTTTTCTAAAGTTCCAATATTGAGCAAAACTGATCTGCTGAAGATTTTACATCATGCTCAAAATTATTAAATAAAAACTGAAAGGTTAGGAAATTTACTGAATTCTTCTTTGAACTGTGAGGATAAAAGCAAATTAAATTACTGTCTTTTGTTATTTCCTCTGTTGCTATAAAGAAAACTAGATCATAATAGGGATATAAAAAGAGTCATAAGAAAGAAAAAATATGACTGATCAATATGACAAATTTATTTTAGAAACAAAAAAGAGTAGCAAATATTTAGACAGAAAATATTCTCACCTGCCAGGGATGAGATATTAATGATTACTCCTCCATCACCTCCATTTCCTTTTCTCATATATTCTAGGCCAAGGTAGGTTCCTCTAATCACCGATGTCTGGTATAGGGAAAAAAGGCATACTCAAAATATGTCTCTAGTGCTCCTAAAAACTGAATCTTGCTTTAACTGTGGTACACAGAGCTGTATTGCTTTAGCACTGATGCCTAAAACTATTTAATGTTTTAGGCACATCAAGTGTTTAATGTTTTAGGCATCGCATCAAGTGTCTTGTCACATATAAATTTCAGAACTTTTACTGGAAAACAAGATCATTCATGCCCACTAGCATTGCTCGAACGTACATTTTTTTCTGAAGACAAACCCATTGGCAACTCAGCTGAAGTTAGACTTGGAATTAAGGGTTGGGTTGTGGGATTTTTAGTTAGTTTGTGTTTGTTTTGTTCTTTTTTGTTTTTAAAAATGTGACAGGTTGTGGCAGGTGATAAGACATTTAGAAAGGAAGGGTAAGTTAATGAAGAGCTATGAAGAGCAGCTGCGGGTCCTATCATGCCCTGGAGCAGTGGCTCAGCCTGCTGGATAGAAAAAGAGAATTCCACTTAAGATTAGAGGAAATAAATCAGTGGCAGAAGGAAGCAACTTGGGGCTCCCAGAGGATTTTTCTCTTCCTTCAGCCCCCTAAGTCAAAGAGATAACAGAGCTCTTTGGTCTTTGGCCAAACCACAATTATAATGCAAGGAAAAGCAGGTAGCTTTACTCTTCTATCTAAGCGCTGCTCCTTTTTCTCTCTAGTCTACATGAATTCCCTTAGGATTTCTTCAAGCAGTTTGGGGTATCATTCTCCTTTATGTAGGTGCAAGGAGTTGTCTTATAAAGTAAGGCAGACTTTCATTCCATTATTGCTCTTACACCTTTTTGCCATCTGTAGACTAATCTTATCAACAAGCATGGATCATCTGGGATAATATGGCTACTTCTGGTATTTGGGCAGATAACATGAAGAATTTATCTGAACAGGATGTGCAGGGTGGCAAGAACTTGGCAGTCCACAGACCCATGATATGGGACTCAGGATGAAGTGTGTTTTGTGACAGTTTTCCCTCTGTCTTTGCCATCCACAGCCTGTGGTTCCAGCTGAGTTAGTAAGATGAAGCAGACACTTATATCTGGATGCCACACAGAAATGGCAAAGAGTTTTTTCAAGGAAATACATATACTTTGAAGAAGAGCATGTTTTTGTTTTTGTTATGGAATCCATCTTTGCAATGCATAAATTACAGCCTGAGGCATTCTCTCATATGAAATATGAGCCACAATTCCTATCTGTTGGTGTCAGAATGTTATGGTTGAATTTTAAAAGAAATACTTTCAGCTATTATTTTACTATACCATAAAAATGCACAATAGAAAATGAGACAGTCAAGGATTCATAATTTTTTTACATCCCAGAAAAACTTCAGTAATCATCTGAAGAAGTGACCAAAGTGGAAATATTAGGTCAAAACTGAAAGTGTCTTGCATATACTTTTGAGAATAGTGACTTAATCATATGCTTTTAATGAATTCTAATTCATTATCTTTCACAATTAGCAATTTTGGGGAAGTTGACATTTAAAACTGTCTGATTTAAGAAAAGTCTGAGTGCTCTTTTATGGTAAAAATATGCTGCAAGACTTTGTACTTGAAAGTATGTTGCCCTTCAGGAGAGACTTTTTACAGTTGCTTTATTTACAGTTGTATTCAGCTACATAAATGTTCTCCATAAAAATGTCAAGAACAAAGAGTAGGAAAGTAGACAAATATGCAGTTAGGTGCAGATGAAATGAAAAATTAGGAAAGCTGACTCTAAGCCAGCTTTTTGCTCATGGCTACTCACTAGAGTTTGAAACTAGTCTAAATAGTTGTCATCCTAGTTGTTGAAAAACCTATGATCTTAGTTTTACTGATGTTTGTTTTCCTATCAAAATATAATGTTTTACAAATATAAGGACAGCCTATTAAGGAGCACTGAAGATCTAAGTATGCTCCCAAGAATGCCAATTTCATATAAATGCTAGTAAAAAGGTTTAGACTTCCTTACATTTCAACATGCCACCTCTTTTCCATACATAACCTGTTTGTATCATTGTACCATACTTAGCTTGATCTCTAAATGAAATATATATTTTTTAGCTGTGATGACTCCCGAAACATCATTAATCATCACCATTTGCAAATTATAATTGCTTTGGAATAATTCAGTATGCAGCACTTCTTTTGATGTGTTTCAGACATGTTTCAATTGCTACCATTTCTTAATAATGAAGTTTTAATAAAAATTCCCTTGGGAAACTTTATAAAGATTTCTCCCTAGGAATGCTACTATTCTATGCTGAGAAATTATCTCTGCACTCAATGCTGGAGATGACAGTTCTGTTGAAGCCAAAGTCATAAGGCAATATGCATTCCTTTGAGAGGACAAAATGGTAATCACTAATCTGTCCTGACATTTTACATAGGTTCCCAAGTTAATCAATTCTAGACTTACATGCTAGGAACACTGAAGAGGAAAAAAAAATAGGAAGAGATTGGCAGTTTCATAAAGCAGGATAGCACAGGGCTGGAATTTGACCCAAGATCATTTGACTTTCATATTAAGGTGTTGTAGATAGAGGACTATCTAGAAGGGAATGTTTTGAAGAACTTTATGATATATTCATAAACTATCTGAGATACATTTTAAAAGTCTGAAAGCAAGTGGTGCCAGTGAGATCTCTGGAAAATTTTAGCACTTTGTTGTTGGTCAGAGAGGTGGGACTGATCTTGTCGTTAATATAAGTGTCCTAGGAAGCTGACAGGTTGCAGCAAGCATGCAAGTCCATTGACATTCCTATGTACAGATGGGTATGCTTACTGTTTTAAAACATTTTTCAGGCTTTATTTTTTAGCCAAACAATGAAAATCAAGAAGTCCATCAAGGGAGAGACAGAAAAAAGGAAGGAATATATAGTAGGATTTGATCATTTGTTAGAGATCTGTAACTCTTGTGCAGTGTAAGAGTGAAATACTAAGCTAATACAATAATACTGTGTGGTTTTACTTACTATTTTCCTCCATATATTTCCTGAAGGACCTAAGATTAGTGTTTCAATTTGTGTTGCTGGGTTTAATTACATTTTTTTTTTGGTCAGAAAAAAATTGCCTTTCACTTACTTCAATATCAGTAACTATATAGATGCATTAGAAGCTATCAGTCAAAATCATCTTCATAAAGCAGATCACAAAATAATCTTCATAAAATCAGCTTCATAACTCAATGTAAATAGCAGAAATTATCATATTAATCCTTACAGGCTTCTTTATCCACTTAAGTGGTTCATCCTCATGCCACTGATATCAAGATAAGTGAAGCTTTCTCACTTTTCAGTAGCTGTGTGTCTACCAAGGCATTCGTTCCAATTTCTGACATTGAATTATTCTGAAGGAATAAGCAACTAAGGCTCTAAACAACAGAGCTGGTGTATTTCTGGACACCAGAGAATGCAATCTGGATAAACTAGATGCCAATACCATTTAATCTTCTACAGATAGTACTATTTATTTATTTATTATTTATTTATTTTTAAAGACTTGACACAGCAGTTGTCTTGGTAGTCCTAAAAAAAACACCACTTACTGCCTCTGTTTACACTGCAGGATCTGATGCTAATTCCCAGCTGCTGGATCCAGATATGTATCCTAGCCACAGTATTTTGTCATGAAAGTTGAGTCCTGTCATCTCTCTCCGGAAAGGTAAGATAAGTACATGGACCAGAAGAAGTCTGTAGCCTATATTCTTTTTTTTTTTTTGGCCTTCTGTAACATTGGGTATTTATCCTTAAATAAATAGATCATTTCTGAAGTTTACCTAATTAGCCAGTTGAGACATTACTGCTGAATATTTCATTGCTGTTGAACAAACCAATTTGATTTGCTGGTTGTTTATTTACCTGTGTTCTATACAGAAACAATATTGGAAGCAAAGCATTCACATTGCTTCCAATATACATCCTCATTTCCACACTAGATTTTTAATATACCCTCTTTACAAGTTCTTTCTGATGCAGGAAATAAGCAGCATGGAGTGGACAAACGGGATTAAGACATCTATCATTTCTTATGCTATTTATCACAATAAATGCTAGATGAATACTTAGATCTTTGAGGATGTAAATTCTCAGATTGGGTAATACTCAGATTGGCATCATTTCCCAAAATGTCACCCTGTGAAAATTGACAAAGACCTTCTAGATGTTAAAAAAAAAATCCTTTTCTCAGGAAATGTTTACCCCTCTACCCCTACTTCCACAATATATCTGAAAAAAAGGATTCATCCTGAATGCTTTATTCTCAAATTCACTGTCTAAGCTTAAATTTTTGTGTCTGGTATGTTGCACAAGTCCCTTCCCATGCTTTGCCCAATAACTGGAAGCAATGTGAGTACTCTCAGTTGTTGGAATTTACTTAGGTTCTGCTTCTATTTATTTATTGACAGTTGAATTAGTCTTAATTCTTCTTTGTTTTATGTTCAGTGTTAATTTTATATATTTACATAGTATTGCTACCTTCATTTGCATAATAAATTATCCAAAGCAATGCAAAAAAATAGTAACATTAAATTCCTGGATTTTTGCTTAGTAATTTTGCTTAGTTAGCATGATCGTCACATGCCTGTAGTCAAGAAACTGAAGAACAACTCCACTAGATACTGTATTGTAGAAACCTGTCCTTCTGAATCCTTAGGTTGTACATCAGCTTTCTGACTCTTTGCCATTCCTGTCTAAACAGCCATTTTTCCACTTCTATTAAGATTAAAAAATGTCTGAACAACATGAAGACAAATGGTGTAAAAATGACAATTTTCTGGCATTATTTTTGTAAGGAATTTTTATTGCAATTCAATAACATTATATTTCATGTTAGAAATGTAAGTCTAATCAAAGTAGTAATAGAAAAGAGAACAAATTCTTTTCCTCAAAAAAGAGATAATCAAGATGATATTAGATATACATAATAAATAAAAAGGCACCTCTCTACATGCTAATGAATGGTTTTTGTTTTTCTAGCAGAATGCTTTCAAGAGTTCATCTTTCTGGATTAAATTTGTTTATCAGCATACATAATCTTTTGGGGTTAGGACTTGATATTTATTCAAAGGTATTGCCAGCCACCCCTAAGATATAATTTGGAGAGAGAAAACTTCTCATTGGACAATCCAATTTAGGAATATAGTATGTATTTTGATAGCTGTACTGTTGTGCTGTACTTCTCCCAAGGGGAGATTAGCTAAATCAAAAAAGAAATCCCTATACTTTTTTCTTTTTTTTTTCTCTTTGCTAACACAAAACCTTCATTTTCTAAACAGATACACATTTAGATTCTGAAATAAATTAGATGATGTTAAGCACAAAAACACTGAATAACTGGATCCTGGATCCTGTACAATGGATTTTTGGCATCTCCAATTTATAGCCTACACTTGGAATTTTTGCTAGAATAAATATATTAATTAAAGAGTGAAAAATCATCACCAAAATGGCATTGTGATTTTTCTGTGAAATTCTTGTCAAATGAATCTAGTTAGTTCCATTTAGGGAATCAGTATATCTACAAAATATATTTTTTGGCATAAGAAAACAGAAAGATAGTCAAAATGTTATGTAAAGTGCCTGTACACTTTGAATTCCAGTAGTATTCAACAGGTAAGCACATGTAACAGATGTACTGTTACAGTTTAACTGTATAACATGGCTTATATCATCTTCAAAAATCTCCAATGCAAGCATGAAAAAGGGAATACATTTTTGGATTTACTTAGTATAAAATGCTCTACATGGTTTTGTAAAGAGAAAAAAGACACAGTAGTCAAAGTGGCAACTCTCTTCCAGGAAGCCTACATCATCAGCATAAGATAAAATTAAGGAAGCAAATTTTCATTTAGCTAATGTGTATGTTCAAGGCCTAGTAAAATCCAGTTTCTTGTTCTCCCTCCCTTCCTTCCTCCCCTGCTTTTTTTTAAGGACTTCATGAAAGAAAGATTACAAAAATTTCTGGACTTCTGAAGCATAAGTTCTTGTAAAGCTGAATGCCAGAAATACTGATCTTGTCATTCTAGAGGAGTAGTAGATACCATACTTGATGAAAACTTACGAGTCATGTGTGCTCACGTTTTTCTGTGTGTGTGTGTGTGTGTGTGTGCGCATGAATGTGGAATGATGTGGAATGTTAAAACTACACCAGTAGTGTCCACTTAAAAAGCACAGAATTCTTAAATAGTTGCCAAAGTCTATATATCATAATAACAACATTGTACATCCATTTGGGAATCAGCAATTTAAGAAATCCTTGGTCAAGCCAATATTTACCAGGTAACGCACTTTGTAGGTTTGTGGTGAGGAAGGAAGGGCATTGCTGGAATAGTAAACTAAACAATATTTATGGAGAAATGAAAAGGTAGATATTGTGCTGCACAGAATATAGCCAAATTGTGGAATGCATTGCTGCAAGAATCTCTTTTCAGTGTTTGCTACTCTTTATTTTTCTATCAGTCTGTCTTTTCTCCTCCTTAGGAATTTGTAATGATGCAAGTAGGAATTGTGTTTCACTCCTGCTTTTTCCTTCTAAATGATGTCCCACTCTTCAGACTTTCTTCTCCATTTCTGTTACTCACATTTTCTCAAGAAATGCTATGAGGGAACTTCCTTGCCCTCCTTTAAAAATAACTGCTGAAGACCAACCGGTTCTGTGGACTGTTGTAGCCATAAAGAACACACCCCATATGTGTTTGTTCTGATTTATCTTGTTCTGTGCTGCTCTACTTTTGTACTTTGTACTTTAACTTGGGGCAGGGAATATTTGTTGTATCAGAGTATAAATAATATTATTAAGATGAAGATTGGCATGTAGAGGGTTTTTTTTCCTTTCTAACCAGAAAATGCCTTTATAGCATGTATCAAAACTTATTCTTTTTTAAAAAATAATACAAAGGGTGTTTTATATGTCCTACTCTGGGAATACAGAGATATTTTTAAAATTACACAGTTCGTATATATTTGTCCCTTTCTCTACAATACGCAAATGATATTCTATGGGACTCACCAACACAACATACTGTAAGTAGCAGGTGTTGTTGTCCTATTGTTATAGCTAACTAGCAGGAAGCATAAAATGTCTATATAGTGGTTCATGGAAATTACTGTAACTGCAAAGAAACACCCAATGGAAAGAAGCTAGGTAAACAACTTATCCAATTATATACAGTAAAAGAATATTCAAATGAAAAGATAAGTGAAGATAATTAGATCCCAGTGTGACCTTGATTTAACCCACAGGTCTATTCTTGTTCATCTCATATGTTGATTCCCCAGCTCCCTGCCTCAATTGATGCACTTATTCAACTTTCAACTATGAATTAAGTCATTAGTACATTTAAGATTGTCTCACCTATACAACATTGTACAGGTTATTATGTATGGTACTATCTTCTATCTTCCCCTTTTTATGTTGAGGGGAAGTACCTCAATAGTTACGTGTGTAGATTTGAAACATATGGATTCTCTTTTTTTTTTTTTTCTGTTACCTGAGATGGTTCACATCTGTGTCCTGCCTGCTGCCCAATCACTGGCAGTATGACAAAAAGGAGAAGGAAGTTTTCAATGCCTCCTATTTGAAGCTCTTGGCATTTAAAAATTGCTTGGGCATGATTCTATAAATCAGGATATTTACCTGGGGATGAAATACCTTCAAGATTTGTTGACCAGCAATGCCTTTGATATTTGAGTTAAATATATAAGTGAATCTCAGACAAATGTTTCTCACGTGAACCTCATTTTTTCAGTTGTGCCTGTCTGTGCTTATAAATTTGACAGCTGGATAGCTAATTACAATAGCTTGCATTCTAAATTAACTTCAGACACAAAACTAATGATGAAAAAATCATTAGGGACTCAAAGTCTTCCAAATTCAAGTTATTTGTGCCAATACATATTTATTACATGAATCACACAGTGTCATACTATTGTCAGTTCACAGTGTAACACATCCTGATGTTTAATTGGCCAGCATATTTAAGAGACAAAACAGGGAGGACAAATATATATAATTAAATCTTAAAGAACATGTAAAGGAAAGGCAAAGGAAAGTGAACAACCATATTTGTCTTACTATGGGACTCTTTATCTGTGGTCTCAGTTCAGACCCTTCCAAGAGCAAACTAGACCTTGGATAGACTTGGAGGGTCAAGAAATGTGTTATTAAATCTATAACTATGTTCATATAGATATATTTTTATATATAAACATTATTTTCTGATTGATTTTCTATAGCTTGTCTTACATAAAGCCTCTGTTACTTTTTTTTTTTGTTATTGTTGTTCTTGTCATTTGGTTTCATGGACACACTATAATTCAAAGACTTTCACTGCAAAGCGCTTTGTTTCTATAGCCTTATATTTCAATGAAATTGACAGTACCTTTCAATTTTGAATGAACAATATTGTTGAAACACAAGCTACAGAAATATTTCAGTTATTTTCTATTTTAAGTACAGAAAATGTTCTCAGAAATCTTGTTTCAGGATCCGTATAGCCCTTGTTGATACCCAAGCTAACCTATAGATGCATATGGCTGATACTCTGTCAATTGTGGTAATGCCTGATGAAGAATTATCTCTATGCATGTAGTGAAAAAGTAATGTTTAACATTGCATCAAGGGAGAAAGCACATGATTGAGCAGTGATTCCTTTTTCATTCTAAAGTACCAAACACAACTTACTGGGAGAAAATTCTAATTCCCCTGTTACTCTGGTCTTCCCTTTAACCTCTCCCACTGAGGCCCCTCTTCAGGTCCCTTTGTCCATAAAACTTTTGACATAAATATAACTTTTAATTTTCTTATACTGAGCTCCGTTGTTGAGCTGACAAATTCCAAATGACTGAGTGGAATCAAGCTCCACATTGTTCTCTTCTGAACTTTCCTCTGCTACTTTTCTTTGCACATCTAGATTATGATGTTTTGTAAATATGGTCATAGAAGAGACATGCTGAACCCTATCCCTTTTATTAGAATTTTATATATGGTAGAATATCTGCTAGTCAGAGATTTATCAGCTAAGAAGTAGGCTTTTTCTTTGGAATGCCTTTCCTTTGGATCTCCCGGCCAAACAAGCTGAAGAGAAAAACTTTCAAATGAAAAATAGATATTGATGTCTTATGTTCTTTTGCAATGAAAAGAGTGAGACTTTGCTGCAGTGATGGCCAGACAATTAAACAACTGGTAATAGTCTATTTCTAAATGCATTTTAAGGACTCCTTGCAGGTATTGGGTTTTAGTAAGGGTTCCTAAGAGGTGTGTTTCAGTCACTGATGTCACTGAAATGACCTGTATTAAAAACTGAGATCTTAGGCTTACTACATTAGTGAAGAGAATATGAAGCCCCTGGTTGAACAATCTTTCTTGTAATATCAATGGTGGGCAACATATTTGTCTAGTACAAACCAGCTGAGTCTCACAAGTAATTAAAATATTACGAAACTTTTGTTCTGGCCTCATGCAGATGCAGCTTTATAGCTCTGGGGACCAAATTACTGTACCTACCTAGAGTTTTTTGTGCTTTGTAGTAAGGCAATATTCTCTTGATTTAGCCTGAGCACTTTTACATAGTGAGCTTTAAAAGACTCACCACATACACTTCTAGTGGTTAGTACCTATGCAGCTATGTAGTTATGCTTTTAAATAGCTGTACTTTATGATCTAATAGTCATATACTCAGTCTGTACAATCCATGGCCTCCTGGCTTAAGTATATTCTGGCATTAATTATGCAAGTAAGAACATTTGAAAATAGATAATGCTTACCAAGTTAATTTGTATAGTGCTTTCCCAGTCCTTTTCATTATTCACTCCAGCATTATTAACCACTATATCCAGCCTTCCGAAATGTTCAATTACTTTTTCAAAAGCACCTATAGAAAAATCCAAGGAATAAATTTCTTAGCACTTATTAAAAATAACTGCAGTGCATATTTGTTACTCTATAAAACTGTCAGAGCTACTTTCTGTGCTGTTAATGTGCAAGATATAACTACATTATTTATCTAGCCATTCACCAATACTAAATATATTCAGGAAAACTGAAGGGAGTAAGATACCATAGTAATCTTTTCATTCATTTTTATGGTGCCTGACAACAATCCTGTCATGAATGTTCTTAGCATCAATACATACTGCGGTATTAGAATGCTTGGCACCTTCATTATACAAATTAAGCATTTACAGCTTTTGCTTCTTCTAATTTGATATATTCAATAAATTCCAGATTTGGTCTCATCTATCTTAAATGTAAAATAAAATAAAATGTTTATATATTCAAAATGATTTTCCTTGCTGAATTACATTTTAAGAATATAATTCTTAATCGGGGATGTAACTAATACAAATACAATGAATCTTTTAACTATAAATATTTTGTCATACTTCCTGATTCATTTTATCCATTTATGAATAAATTATTATGCATCCTACATACAGGTAACTTAATAATGTGTTTCTCAAATTCAAACATCTGTTGATAGAGAGAAATGACCAGTCTTTCAATACATTTTAAAATCATATGACCCTGTGTTCCCCCAGATGACGGAGGTTGAAGTAGGATAAAAGTGTGGAAAAACACAATGATGTCTTAGTGATGTACAAACTTTTCTAACTTGGCCCTGCCTAGAGGGGGGAGTTGAGTAGATGACATCCAGATGGCCAAATATGGCATTTTTCCCACGACTGCTAACATTATCTGATCCATATGTGTGTGTATATATATGTGTGTGTGTGTCTATGTCTATTTTATATCTATATATGTATATATATCGCTTGTATGTTCCTCCTTCCAAATACAGTTCATCATCACTACGTATTTATTATAAAGCAAGCCAAGAACCAAATGGACAAACACTTGCACACATATATTGTTTTAAATACATAATTTGGTGATTATTTAAAGATCTAGAGTATTTTGGATATACTGGATGCATGCTTTACATGATAGGCCTTAATGAAACCACTTTACTAAAAGTTGGTCCCAGGAAGCCAAATCCTCTGCTCTTTGATCTTTGGCAATTAGTATAAATCAGAAATACAGCAGCAGCTTTGAGAAATCTTCCTTTGTGCAAGGGCAACAAACTAAACTTTACTTTTGCACCAGATGGTCAGTCTTCTTGCAGCTTTTGCTGTGACTGAATACCCTAAGTCCATCAGGATTATCATCTTGGCACCAGAACAAGAGCTAGGCAGCTGATGGAAAAAGGTTTTCTTTATCCAGCTGTCTGTTTTACAGATTTTCTAATGTTGTTATTCTCTACTAGAATAGTTTTAATACTTTTAAAACTTCTCATGTAAGCTTTCTGCCTTTCCTGTTTTTGTTACATTTGTTTATTCCTTAGTTCTTGAGCTACACTTTTGAATCACTTTTCCTCATCCTTCTGATCCTGTACCAGCAAGTGAAGGCCTTTGACTTTATTAGGAGCAGAACTAATTAGTTTAACTTAGTTTTAATGGGTACAAAAATTGCTATTTGGATTCTCCATCCTAATTTTGGTAAGTGGCTATTTGATTCTCTTTTAACCTTCTCAATGTCTTCCGTTACCCTCATTCTTAAAGCCAGTCATTCAAAATCTTTTACTTCAAACATCCAATTGGTAATACTACTTTTGACAAATGGGCAGTCTTAAGTATTTATTAAGTTTACAGGTAGTCTTGATTAATTAGTTTTCTTGCTTACATATTGAGAACATAACTAAATCCTTTTCAATTGTTTGCATATTTGAGTTGAAGTAGAGGATGATTTGGTATATTTCTGGAAAAGGTTATCTGGCTAAAGGGATCCCATCTGTTACCTGTCCACACACTAAAAAATCTTAATTTCTTAATCTTAATTTCTTAATCAACACTGTCACCAGCATATCAGTGCAATCTGACTTGTTCATCTTTTGAAAGCAGAATAAGTTCTTGTTTAGATTGCACACTAGTTACTTGGCGCTCACAAAACTGCAACTAAGAAAAGGCAATTGTATATAATGCTTATATATAATGCTGACTATTAAAATAAAGAAGAGGATCCATTTTGAAGGAGAGGTGAGAAAAATAGCGGAAGGTAGGCATAAATATCAATCATGAGTGAGCCTTCTTGATGTTCATGGAAAGCAAAAATAAATGTACAGTGATTTTACAGAAGTGGGTCCCTATATGATATTTGGAGGGGGGGTGGGGAATATGTGAAAGAGGCACCATAAAAGAAGCACAGGCAGGAAGGTAAGAGTTGGAAGTGTGGGTCCTTTAGCCCTGAGTGTTATGTACCCATATACGCCTGTTACCATAACTGCAGCGTGTTTCCTTTGGGAACAGCTACAGTAAAATGAGGGGAGCTTCATGTGAGCACAAGAGCTTGGACCTGACAGAGAAGGACAGGACTCAACGCGTCCACTAAGCATTTAGAAGACCAGGAGTGAAACTAATGTAGGTTTCTTATGCAGGGCTTGCAACTGACGGCTGGAAAAATAGTAGAAGAAAACAGCAGCCCCCTCCACCCTCCCTGGCTTATATACCATGACTACAAATTTGTTACGAAACCCACCATAGGCGTAAGGCAGTGTAAGCAGCATCCTCTGAATCCTGCTCTTTCTCCATCTCGGATTGCGCTTTCCCTGCTCCCTAGCCCTGGGCTCTCCCTGTCCATCCCGCTCACCCCAGTTCCCGGTGCTTTTTCCTCTGCCTTTGTGTGGGCCCTGTGCTGGACACGAGGGAAGAGCGAGAGGGCACCCTGGGCTAGCCCCGTGCAGCAGCACATGCTGCCTGCCCCAAAGACGCTTCTTCGTGCTCCTGGGTGCCTCTTCCCACTCCAAGAAGGTCAGTACTCGACCTAGCTGTGGGGAAACCGTTTGTTGGTCTGAGCAGAGGGTGAGTTTAAAGCGCAGCGCCACTTCGGGGGCGCTTCCACGCTTACCTTTCAGCTGCTCGGGCTCGGTCACGTCGCACTGGATGAAGAGGGTGCGCTGCGCCTCGAAGAGCGCGTCCAGGGCGGCCTTGCTGTCGCGCCCGGCCTCGCGGTTGCGGTCCAGGAGCGCGCCCTGCGCGGGGCGGCGCTGAGCGGCGCGGAGCG